GATACGCGGGCCCCTCTCACTGTTGTGGCCTCTCCCGTTGCGGAGCGCAGGCTCAGCGGCCATGGCTCACAGGCCCAGCCGCTCCGAGGCATGTGGGATCCTCCCGGACCGGGGCACGAACCCATGTTCCCTGCATCGGCAGGCAGACTCTCAACTACTGCGCTACCAGGGAAGCCCTGGTTGGCTCTGTCTCTTAAATATATCTTGAACCTTTTCTTGGTACAAGCCCTCAATCAGCTTTTTCCTGATTACTGCATTAGCTTCCTAGATGCATTCCCTGCCTCCATTCTGGCTTTCTGCCAATCTACCTATCATGTTGGCCCTCAGAGGACTATAAATTAGAATTTTTTTTCCTGTTTAAAAACCCTCCAAGTCTCCCTACTGAGCAAGCAAATAAGATGAAGTCCAAACTCCTTAGTGTCATATATGATAACATATTTTATAATCTGACTCCACCCTATGTTTCCAACTTTATCCCCTGTCTCTCTCAGGTTTAACCCCTATACTCCAGCCACAGTGAATTATTCAGAGGTTCTAGAACATAGTCATTGTACTGCCATGATTTTTTCATGCTCTTTCCTTTCACTGAGCACCCTTCCTCCTTTTCTCTGACTGACTGATGGATTTGAAACTTTTAAGAACTAGCTCAAAAGTTTTTTTTTAGTTAAATTTTTTTTTATGAAGCCCTCCTTGAATACCTACTATGTGTTTGACACTGCTAGACATGAAGCATAAAAGATGAGTAATTAAGATGTAGACCAATTTCTTAAGAAGGTCATTTCTTCTTATGTAGCATATGTAACAGGAAGCACAAGCAACAAAATGACAATACCATACATGATAGACTGTTACCCTGATGGCTCCCTATGAACCATACCTCCTGGTGTGCATGCCCTTGTGCAGCTTCTCCTGGTTGACTTTGGGATTAGACATGTCACTTGCTTTGGCCAATGGAATGTGAGCTAGCATGATTCAAGCAGAGGCTTGATGAGCATTTGTACACTGGGGCTTGTCCTCTTGGCACTCTCTCTTGGAAGCCAGCAGCTGTGTTGTAAGGATGCTCAAGGCCATCCTGGAGGATGAGACACCAGGTGAAGAGAAGAGGACACATGGAGAGGATCTGAAGCACCGCAGCTGAACTCCCAGCTGAATATAGCTGCATGAGTGACCCCAATTAACACCAAGAAGAGCAGAGAGGCCAGTCAACCCACAGAATCATATGGGTTGACAAGATGTACAAGTTCCGATGAAGCAAAGAGAAGGAAGTGATCCTCTTTGTACAGCCTGGGAAGAGAAAGAAGGGTCCAGGGAAGATTTCACAGAGGAGGTGGTGCCTGAGCTGTGTGTTGAAGGATAAGTAGGAATTTTTTTAGAGCAGGGGAAAATGTATTACTGGTTAAGAAGATGGCATATGCAAAGGTGCAGATGCATGAAAGAGAAAGGCACATTCAGGGAATGACGGGAAGTTCTATTCTGGTGGTAAGAGAAGCATGAAAGGGGAGATATGGACAATGAGACTGAGCAGGGGAGACGCAGGGATGAGGCCACACAGTGCCTTGTCTGAAAGAAACGCTGAGGACCTTGGCCTTTACTTTGAAGTCAGTGAGAGGCCACCAAAAGGTTTTAACTATAGAACTGACATAGTCAGATCTGTAATTTAAAAAAGTAACTCTGAACTGGTATAAAGAATACATTGAAGGAGAAAAACACCTGAATGCAGGGAGGGATAGTCGAGGCAGGAATGGAAAGAAGAAGATGGATTGTAGAGACATTTGAGAGGTAGACTGGCTAGGATTTAGTGAGTAATTGGAAATGTTTTACTCATACAAACTGTTCTTTACTTTTTCAAGAAAGTGTCTATCTGTCCCCCTGGAACACACTCCTCTAGGACAGGGGAATCTTTACCTTCCCTGCAGTGCCTGCCATAGAAGAGGTACTCAGTGAACATTTGTTGAGTAAATGAAGATGTGTCGGTAGGTCTGGAAAATATTTGTCAAACAAGGTACCATTTCTATAGGACCTTACACCTTACATCCTTAACACAAGTCATTTCAATCCATTTGTAACACAGCTATTGCTTCATATAGAGGTCTGGCTATGTCTTATCTGGATGAAAACTTCAGGTTTTAATTTGTGAATGCAGACTCTTTTCAGTGAGCAGCATAAAGAATACCATGGATTTCTAAAGATGTAGGTAATCTTGCTAGTAGACTAGTAAAGTACAGACCTGGGCAGAAAGAAATCTTTTACTGTCTTAAAATGTATGCATCTACTACCCTGTTTCCTTCATAACACATGTTAAGATGCGCCATATAAAAAGAGAGTCTGACCCTAGGTGTATTTAAAATAAAATAAATCAAAACCAACAAATAAACAATTCTTATAAGCAAAAATAAAACTCCAGATCTTACCTCCAGTGTTTTATCCAATTTGGCAGCTACTCTTCCAATTTCATATAATAGCTGTGGGCTGATGGGAATCTCAGCTATAGGCCTTCCTGGTAGATAAGTCAGCAGCCTCACCAAGTAGCTTTTGATTTCAGAGCCACTATCTAGATGGATAGAAGTATATATCCTGTCAATTGTTCTTGAAAAAAAAAAAGAGTAGAAGCTATTCTGCCTTTCCAATTACTATTGCAAAGAATAATACAGAACAAGAGAAAAAACACGCTAACCTAGGACAAGTCAGCAGGATTCTGTGAAGCAGGGCCGAGTGGATCAAGCAAGCAGGTACAACAGACAGACATTAGGACACTGGGACCAGCCATTTACATACTAACATAACTGTGGCCCCAAGTCTGCTGGCCTTACCTCTAAACATAAATCACCTGCTCTGGTAACTGAAGGCCTAAAAAACATTTTTTATAAATTCAAAGTCGAGGAAGGTATGATAAAGAAATGAGTGTTTCAGAATCACAGGCTTCTTTAGGGACAAACTGCTACTTGGAGAACTCTATTAGATACATCTTAAAAAAAAAAAGAAAGATACATCTTAGCATTTAGAATTGAGAGGAACCAAGTTTCACAGATGAGATTTCCTTAAGAATTTAAGTTGTGTAGCCAAGGTCACATGTACAGTAATTACAGAGCTGGGATCTAAAATTCCTGATTCTGTGTTCTTTCTACAAGATCACAGCACTGAAATATACAGCTGATCTGATGAATAAAAATATTTAATTATTTTCCTAATAAAAAATAAAAGTTCCCTTAGTTTCCACATGTCCCCTTAGTTGTTCATCCATCAGATCCTTCCCAGGCAGAAGAGTTACACCAGACCCAGGCTCTAACCACTTCTGAATCACAGCCCCAGTCTCTACTTGGGTGATGCTGTGGCTTCTCCCAACTGCTGAAAAAGTAACCCTGTCTACACTTGGAATGACGTACCTGTTCTTGATATTTCTACTTGTAGTCAAAATGCAGTAATGCACATGGACAGGTGACGACCAGTGGTAGTCTCGTACCTACTGATATGAGAGAGGTTAAGTTGTCTTCTTTAGTACGACACACGGAGGCCGTTGGAAATCCAGCCACTCTCAGAAATATGATGATGTGACTCTGCACTTCAATCAGGTCTGGAGTTTTGCTTGACTCGCTGTTGCTTATTTTGAGGACATACTCATTTGGGCCATCTGTAGTGTCTTTGGTTCTTAAAATGCATACATGAAAGTTTTGGTCATCATAGCTAGGAAGTGGCTGGATCTTGGAAACTTTTAATCCAAATACTGATTCCACTAATGCAGAGGCTTGTACCTCACTGAAAGTGGGTTTGGTAAGAGCCTGTGATTGCTGACCACCTCCACTTGACATTATTTCTAAGGAAAAAAAAAAACCCAAACAAATAAACTAGAAAGGGGACATATAATGAATATACTTATTTAAAATATTTTTCTTAAGACAGATCAATAATGTTTCCCAGTACTGATTCTGTATTTCTCTTGATTATGAATTTTCACTCATAAAGTTAAAACAATCAAATGAGTGTATGAGATAAAAAAGCAGTGAATAAAAATCCTTGTACCATAAATGATTTCTAAACTCACCTCTCAAGCAAAAGGTATGTTTCCAGGGACAGAATGAAGACCAGGAAAGCACCTTGGTATCACCAATTCCTCCACCCCTCCCAGTACCATGAACTTTATTTAAAGGGGGAAGTTAGGTCCTGAGAGGTTAGTGTCTTGCCCAAAGTTATATATAAAGTTACAGTGAGAACTCAGCACTCTAGACTCCTAATCCATAATTATGTACTTTGGACCATATTACCATCAGTTTTGGTTTAAAATATAAATTTAAATACAGTGATCTTACTTTTCTGTGTTAAATTATAAAGGTCATCATCTAGCTTATTGCACATATTTTGAAGGGTGGACTGATGTGCAAAGCATCACGTGAAGCACTGTGGGAGACAGGAAATGCACTTAGAGGGCTCTGAAAAGTTAACTCATGGTCACAGATATCCCAAATAATAAAAAACATAAAAGCTGTTCAAAACAAGTTATAAGGCAGTAAGTGATAAACTGATAGAATGCCAAAGAAAACACTGAATTGAGTATAAACCTGAAATGACTGAATTATCACTGAAGTGACTTAGTTTACCTTAAATTGTAAAGAATAAAATTTCTACTGTTAAGCAGAATAGGGGCTTAAAATAAAAATTAAGGGGGCTTCCCTGGTGGCGCCGTGGTTGAGAGTCTGCCTGCCAATGCGGGGGACACGGGTTCGAGCCCTGATGGGAAGATCCCACATGCCGCGGAGGAACTAGGCCCGTGAGCCACAACTACTGAGCCTGCCCGTCTGGAGCCTGTGCTCCGCAACAAGAGAGGCCGCGATAGTGAGAGGCCCGTGCACCGCGATGAAGAGTGGCCCCCGCTTGCCATAACAAGAGAAAGCCCTCGCACAGAAACGAAGACCCAACACAGCCATAAATAAATAAATAAATTAATTAATTAAAAAAAAATTAAGGTCGCTTACAAAAAGTAAAGGTGCTTCTGAGCTTATGCCCTATGAAATTAATATCTACAAAAACTGTGGTAGAAATTCAGGGGAGACAAATTACTACAGCCTAAGGATATTCTTGAAAAGATGGATTTGAATTGAGTTAGTAAATATGAGTTGGATATATAGGATGGGGGAGACTGTTTTCTTCCCCTTGATAATGCCACTCTCTGCTGCACATACTTGGCATATTTCCTGAGTATTCTTTGCAATCTCGCGTCCCCCTTTTCCCAAAATAGTTTTATTCCAACCCTTCCTTCATAGTAAATTGTAAATAATTAATAACATCTTGGGGATGGGTTGCATTTTAGGGTGCAAGTTAGATTGCTGTTCAAGGGATGTAATGTTATATAAAAAGAATCTCATAAACAGCTCTTGTTGATAGAAATCAGAACAGCTATTGCTTCTGGCAAGAAGGTGGCATGAAGGAACAACTTTCTGGGAGGAAAATGTTCTGTATCTTGACTAGGCTTTGGTAACATGGGTGTAAACATTTGTCAAAATTTAGCTTAAAATTTAGGTCAGAGTAAGATCTGTGAATCTCACTGAATATAAATTTTACCTCAAAAAAAAAAAAAAAAAGGCTTTGTGAGAGACTGGCTAAGGAAGAGGGTGGGGTGGGATCTTAGGACTTTCTCAGAGCTCCCCAAATCAGAGCATATGCCTGTTAATGTCTAATCACTTCAGATCTATGACAGCCAAAGTCCAACTTATTCCAGTGAAGGGAAAGGGATAAAATTCAGGGAGGTACACTAGGGCTCTCATATATGACCCCCTCCCTGACTCAGCCCCAAGACTAGAGCCTGATGACTCAAGTGATAAGAGTATAAACCCCAAACTCCAGTCCCCTCCCCATCCCTCCTTGCCTGATCCTCCTAACCTAAGTGATTCCTCCTGCCTCTAAACTTGCATAGCCCCTTGTGCCGCTGTAGGCTTCCACCACCTGTTATAGTTATTGCATTCTTGCCAATTGCTTCTCATGTCTGCTTTCTGACCAGTGCATTTGCTTTCAGAAGCAAATTAAGTCGTTCAGATTTTGTTTACTAAAGACACGTGACAAAGCCTAAATGGGGTTTGAAACCATCTTTGCACCTGAAACTTCTGGGAACCAATATATCCCGTCACATTGTATATGGGCTTAAGACTTCACAAGGGATTTTAACATTCCTTCTGGAGATTTATAAACAGGTGTAAGACCCATATTCAGAATGTAATATGAACTAAAGCTTTAAATTCAAGACGAAATCCTGGAGTAATTTTTCAAATCCTAAAGCATTAAAGGTGTCAGGATAACTCTGAATTTGATATGAATTATAAATACTTAAAGTTGGAAGGACCCTTAGAGGCAGTTAGTGAAGGCCAATCTGCCTTCCAGCCTAGAAAATGTTTCTGTAACATTCTTGAATGGGGTTTGTTAAGCCTCTACATGAAGTGCCCTTGTTTTCTAAAGCAATGTAAAGCAATGTCGGCAGCTCTAGCCATCAAAAGACAGCCTGGTGGGCTTCCCTGGTGGCGCAGTGCTTGAGAGTCCGCCTGCTGATGCAGGGGACGCGGGTTCGTGCCCCGTTTCGGGAGGATCCCACGTGCCGCGGAGCGGCTGGGCCCGTGAGCCATGGCCGCTGGGCCTGCGCGTCCGGAGCCTGTGCTCCGCAAATGGGAGAGGCCACAACAGTGAGAGGCCCGCATAACGCAAGAAAAA